GTATGTATATATCTCAGGGAGTTAATGTGAGAGCATTAGACATATATTTAGTATAATTGAATGGCTTAGATTTAATGAATGGAGAGCTGTCAGAATTTAATAACAATTTGTATAAAATACCTTTAGCTTATATATATACATTGGAATAATCCATTGCTCTGTACATTTAAATTCATAAAATCTATACTATATACGAGTACATATATAGGCAAAATTCTTTAACCCCAAATAAAAGTTAGTCAGTACAAAATTTGAGTAATAAATCTACTGGCGATCAACCAGTTTATATTGCTCGCTATTCAGTTGCTGTGAGGCTATGAATTAATATTGACATAACTCTCCAGGGAGTCAACGTTAGAGCATGAGAAATATATTCAGACATATTGCATAGCCTAGATTCAATAATTGTTTAGTTGCTGCTAAGCGCTGCTGTAACCAACAACATTTTAAATTTATGTCTAGAATCTAACAACCAGAATTGAGCGCTGCCAATTAGCACATAACAAGATGTGATCTGTCTACATAAGAAACGCTCATTAATCATGTCCAAAATAGAAATCGGTTCTAACTCTGGACATGTGCATCTGTAGATTATGCAACATGTCCACCGGCACCCAAAAACAAAAACTCAATCAAAAATACGCTCGAGGCAGCTGAAAGAACCTTGAAACTCCACGAATGACCGAAAATGCAGGCGTCCTACAAAAGAAACTCAAACAACAAAAAGACATATAGCAACTAACTAGACAAGTCAAGAGCCGGTAGTAAAAAATACAACATAAAAAAATACAAGAAGCAGAAAATCAACAAGAGGGCAAATACACCAAACTTTGTTGCACTGGAGAGGGAGGGGAAGCAAGTGGGTGCTGCGACAGGAAATACGAAAGGCAGTGGGAAACGAGGCCACTTGGCCAGTCGCAGAGTTTTTCGTTGCCAATGGCCACATTGACGTTGCAACTGAAGTTTGTTAAGACGTATCCGTAAGATACACAAACACTCGTGGCCGATTGCGCAACATGGTTAGCTCAACGATTTGAAGAATTTATGGCCAAGAGCACTTGGATAACTCTTAATTAACTAAAACGAGCACAACTGCTGAGTGCTACGAGCGATACGATGAGCGTGCTTCTTTCTCACTTTTTGATCCATTATATTCTGATTAACATAAGCCACACAAACACTGCAAATCACTTTCACTCAAAAGCCACGAGTCAGAAAAATAAAATAAAAGCGAAACGAAACGAAAAGAAATTTCAGATTTCAATTTTGAGATTTCGCTTTCGTTTGGAGCTGATCTGGCGAAGCCTAAAAATACATTTTGCTCATGTGTGGTGTGATGTGAAATCAATTATGACTTATTAACAAATTAGTGAGACAGCTAAAGCGTCGTGTAACTAACAGTTATAACATCACATCATATATCAACGCCCCAATGCCAAAATATCAACAAAAAAATCTTATGGCCAAGTGAAAAATGTATTTTTTGTTTTCACTTCTTTTTCTACTTACATGTTTCTATCTCATTTTTGATCTTCATTCATTAGCATAATGCTTATTTGATTTGACAGCCCAAATATCCAAAGTAACATACAATTTGGACGAGGTTTTTGGGCCACTTTTTGTTGAGTTTCTTTGTTGTCCAAATATGAAGTAATTTATAGACTCGACTTATTTGTGGCGTATTAAGCAGTTTTTATCGAGCCATAATAAAAAGTGATCTGCTGTTAAAGCTGTTGAGGAAAAGTGAAGTTATGAAAGTTAACTTTTTATGCGTTAATCGAATCTTTTTTGTTGACCTTCACACGAACCAGAGCTCTGAAAAGCGAATCCATTTATCTATGAGTTACAGTTGAGCAGACATAAATATATTAATCAAAAGTTAACAATCGAGTTCACATTCCGTTAATACAAATCAGTTATTTAAAAGCAACGCTAATTTTCTATTTATAATTTGTGTACACATCAATTTACAAATAGAAAGAAATTAACTGATACACATAAAGATTATCGTCCAACTTTAATTGACACACATAAAAATATCTTCATAAATGGCAAATAATTTATATATATATATATATCAAGACCATCGTCGAATTCATTCGACCTCATGAAAACCACAACTGCCAATCAATAAAACCAATTTCACTCAGCAGTAGCGAAAAAATAGAGACAATCAAAAATCTAATGATTAATTGCCTTTAGTTGTGTGCATGGCCACCGTTTTGGTTTGGTTTTTTTCTGATCTGTCGCTCAGTTTCGATTGAACGGCAACTCTCAAATTGTCAAACCATTGACACCTTCAATCACACAAACACAACCCACAACATGTGGAAGCCGCTAATGTGTGTCTCGTGTTGGCATGTGACAACCACAACCACAACTACAAAGCGACAAAATGCACCTGCCACGATTATAAACTGGGCGCATGCGTAGCACCCAGCCCAGGGGATTGGCATTTACAGCGAGAAAGAAAAGCAGACAATAGAAATGAAAGTGTTTTGCATGTACATACGCACATACTTACATACATAGGTAAATACATACACACATACCCACAGAGGCCCAGGTGTGAAATTAACACGTTCGAAACGTTCCAGCCATGATAAACAATGTTTGTGTATGACGCAAAACGATGGAACCCTTTTCGGCTGGAGTTCACTGACTGCTGAAACTGGGAACAGCAGCGGGCCTCTTGGGATGTTGTGAAGCTGAAGCTGAAGCTGAAGCTGATTACCTGTGCCAATGCTTATGGGCACTTGATTGATGATTGATTGATGTTTTCACCAGCTGCGCAATTTGTCAAAAAAACAACAGCAAATTGCGGAGGGAAACTTTATGTCGAAAGCCAAAGAAAACCTTAAAAAGAAATCTTTTATGTGAAAAATATTTGTTGCTAGAAGAAGATGCTTATGTCATTGAACGCTGACCTATAAGGTCTTGAACTTACTTGCACTATAAAAGATTCCATAACTACATTTGAACGATATCCAAAGATGTTTCTTATGCGCGTTTATTAAAAGAAATAATGATTTATTTTATGCTTAATCAATTTTAGGGAAAAGTGCCAAGCTAAAGTGCTAAACATTTTGCACACAAATAATTCTAAATCCAGTTAAAGTTATTTATAGAACTTACACCAACAAATTGAGAACTTACAGCAACCAGCTCTTTGGCTTCCTTTACAAATTAAAGAAGCAAACCCAAAAAACCGCAGGAGATACAACAATTATGTTGGCAGTTGCATAAGCTGAGGATTGAATGGCAGGTTTGACAGCAGCACTGATGATGAGCATCATCATTAGCACTAACAACATAATTGCAATGTGAAAAGAAAAAGCTATAGATACAGAGTGGAAAAGAGGAGAGGGCAAGGGGGAGAAGTGCGACTGACGGACTGATATTTGAAAAAGCCATAAGATTTATACGCTAGCCAACTAAATTATGCATGATGCTAAGCATTAAATCCATACCCTCTCCCATAACCTCTGCCCCTCGCTGCTCATCTTCTTTCTTTTCGATGGACAGCCGCGTTGAGTAACTGCTGTTAAACATTTTTTTTGTTTACTTCGTTTTGTTTGGTAGTTGTTGTTGCTGTAGTTGTCTTTCTGCGTTTTGTCTTGTCTTGTCTTGTCTTGTATCTCTTTGTTTCACTGCAGCTAGATGCGTATGTAATGCGTATGACAAGCAGTTTGCGACTTACCACAGATTGTATAAGCAGCGTGAAAGAAAGATCCCAGGCGAACACCATTTACAATTGCAATTGAAAAGGCAAAAGGTATTTCGCCTATTGCAACAGCATTTCAATAAGCAAACAGCGCGAGTCGCTTGCCAAGCAATGTCTCAATTCATCAAAGAAGCAAAGATATGATGATCATTGTGATTCCTCTGGAAAACGGTATTTTCAGAGCACACTTTTTTATCTTGGTTCTTTGGCGCGTTGATAGCATATTCACTTGCCACACAACCAAGTTAAATTAATAATATTCACTTTTTACTAATGACATATAAATATTTAGAAATATCACACACAAAATTGATTAAAACAACCTTAAATAAACTAGCCAGTAGTGTTATGCCAATATATACAAATATATATCTTATAAAATTAATTAATAAACACAAACTGAGTATCTAAATGTGTAGGAATGTGTACATAAGCGTGGTCAACAGGTAACGAGCAGCGTTAAATTTTGTTTAATCGGTAAAATTAAGTGAACCATCTTTCTTTGGTATACTTTGCGTTTCGCATTTAAAATTTTGCTTCGGAAGACAATTTTAATTGCTTTTTTTTACAAGCTTGTTTAGCGTGTGGGGATTTGTACGCTTTCTTCTGATATGCATGCACATCATACGGATATTTATATATTTGTATGTATGTTTGTGAAACAGAAAATAAAAGACAACATAAACTTGTCAATTTTAGAGCAACACAGTGACGTCACTAGCTCTCACTCTCAATTGGCATTTGTTTTGTATGTGCTGCAAGTGGTATAAATTTTGCACAAGTTCAAGATCTCGACTGGTTTTTAGCCCACTTTGCCATTTTCATAGACTTCCACTTGGTGCAACAGCCGCAAAGGACCCCTGCAACTACGCACAAATCTTGTTGTTGCCATCTAAAATGGAGCAAACATAAAAACTGGTTCATGTTGCGCCAAGTGGTCAACGGGGGAAAGGGAAACTGTTGATCAGTCAATGGCAAATTTTCTGTGCCAGTTTTCGATGATAAATCTGGTTTTCGCTACGAATTAGTGTCAACTGCGAATGATGCAATCAAAACATAATTCCGTTTTGCAACCTCATTTAAAAATAATACAAAAGAAATGTAATTTTTTATGCTCCTTTCCCACAAATTTAAAACTCTTCAATCAGTCTCTTTTCAATTTTATTGATTTGCATCTTATTACAGCTCTACAAAAAACTCCAAATAATAAAATGTGTTATAATAAAATGTTGACCTTTACTGATAATAGCTTTCCCCTCACCTTTTCCACTTACAGCGACCGCTGCCGTTTCCCAATTCGCATCGCCGTCAACTAAATCTGCAGCAATATAATCATCAGAATTTCGTTCAAGCCGGCGTCGAGCTGCCCATTCCACCTTTGCATCAACAGCCGCAACGCCAGCATCACCCACACCAGCAACCACATCAGCAGCATCATCATCAGTCTCAGCAACATCATCATCAGCAGCAACACCACCAGCAGCAGCAACATCGCTTTGGCTCATTCCCGCAGCAACAGAAGCATCAACAGCCGCAGCAACAACAACAACAACAGCCATTGGCACACAACAATCAGCAGTTCCAGCGCTCCACCCAAAATCAATTGCAGACTGCACCACAATATCCACAGCCACCACAGCAGCAGCAACAGTTGCCCACGTCGGCTAGCAATCTTGATTTGCATCATCAGAACTTCTTGGACTTGCGCAACTTTGCTGGCTCACAGCAGTTGCCGCAGCGCCAACGCCAACAATCCACTGCCTTTCCGGCTCAGACCTATCAGCAACAGCAGCAGCAGCAACAGCAACAATTGCCACAGCAGCAGCAACAACAATTTGGATACCAGCAGCCGCAGCATTTTGGGCAGCAGGCGACACAAAAGTTGCCCAGCCAGGCTGCTGTGCCCACCTTTCAGACCATACAACAACCGCAGCAGCAACAGCCGCAATTGAACTATCAGCAACAGTCACTTGCGGCACAGCAGCAGCAGCAGCAGCCACAATTGCCAGTAGGACAACAGCAGCAGCAATATCAGCTCACTCCTCAGCTAGGCTTGCCACTGCCCTCAAACTTTAATAATTTACAATCGACTGCTTTTCCACTGCAGCAGCAGCAACATCAACAGCAACAGCAATATCCCCAACAGCAGCAGCAACAGCAACAGCAACATCAGTTCATCAACAATGCACCACCACCGCAGGCAGCGGATCAGGAATACAAACAGAAGCTGATACAGAAACACGAGCAGTTTGTGGCCAAGCAGTATGAGAAGTCGCAGCACAAGGTGCGTCAGCAGCACGAGGAGTTCGTTGCCAAGCAGCATGCGATCAAGCAGCATGTGCTGCCCACAATTATTACCCAGCACAACAACTATGCACCACAGCCACAGTTTGTGCAACCGCCACGGGGTCGTCCAGTTGCTCATCCCACGGATTACAATCAATTCAGTAATGCTCTCCAGCAATATTACAAGGAGCATCCAACAACAACAACAACCACAACGACAACAACAACCACTGAGGCCAGCACCACGCCCAAAAAGAACATCTACTCGCAGGTCAAAGCGGAGCTGGGCAAATATGGCACTCAGAAGTTGGGCGGCAAGAAACCCGTTAAGACAATTGCACGCGAGGATTTGCTGAAGCAGCTGAAGGCAGCGCTGTCGGAGGCCCCACAGCAGCCCTTAAATGGCAACAAGACTTACGATGAAATGGATCTGCTGCTGCCCAATGGACAACGTGTGCAGGTCATACGCACAACGGATCCAAATCTCGTCAAGGGACAACAGGCTTACTCGCAGGATCAGCTGCAGGCGCTGCTCGCCCAGCAGGCTTTGGGCGCCGACGGCAAACTCAGCCTCAGCGATGTGGCGCCCAGCAACAGCAAGGATCTGGTGCTGCCCGGCGGCGGCAAAGTGCAAATCCTGCGCTCACCCGATCCACTGGAATCCGACACGTTGCCCACTCAGGCACTGCCTGGCGGCGTCGATCTATCCAGTCTGGCTGCTCTCTATGGTGGCAATGCAGGCGATATACAGGGTGTTAGTAATGGTGCCAATAGCATTGCCAGTTCCGCTGTGATCACCTCCGACTCTGATAGTCCACCCACCCTGGAGGAGCTGGCCAAACGCGGCCTCATTCCCGATGGCTATGAGATCGAAGGATTGAGCTCCGACTCCGCGAAGACCACGGAAGCACCGCCACCACCCAAAAAGAAGGCCACCTATGTCTATCTCGAGGAGCAGGCCGATGGCAGCTTCAAGATTCAGGGCGTCAAAGCTAACGGTGAGAAGGAGACTAAACAAACTGGCGCCGAGGTCGAGAGCATTCTGGAGCGCATACGCAGCGGAGAGATTAAACTTCCACCTTCCGTCTATCGCCTGACCTTGCCCAACGATGAAGTTGTTGAGATCAAGAGCGGCAAAATCATACAAACCACCACAACGCGGCCACCACCCACCACTACTACCACGATAAGAACTACAACCACCACAACGCCAATACCGTTTGTCTCGCGCAACACGCCAAGCAATCATCGCCAGTACCATCCGTCACGCACCTCCACCAGCAGTCCCAACCCCACAACCACCATATTCACACCCAGCACCACCAGTGCGCCCTACACGCCCCGCTTCACAGCTATCTACGAGAGTAGCAGCAGCCCAGCCAGTGCCGTGTCAACCGCCAGCTTGATCCGCACCACAGCTACTCCTGTTTACCACGCCTCGCCCGTAACCCAGTCCCCGTATATTGGAGGCATCTCCACGCATCTGCCTATTGTGACAGAGCGTCTGTCAGAGATTACATACACGCCGGACATACTGCTGCCCCCGACTCCTCCTGCTCAGTATGCGGACGCCTTAGTGCAGGAGACGGAGAATACTGAGAAGGCAGCATCAACGGGCGGCGTCTCGGTGCTGTCCAATCCCAGTGAGGATCTTCTCCAGATTCTGAAGAGTAATGGACTGTTTGCCATGGCCAAGTATCTGCGTCAGAGTGGTCTGGATAGCATATTAAACGAAACGGGACCGTATACCATCTTTGTGCCTACAGACAAGGCATTCAAGAACCTGCTCGTCCAGCTGGGCGGACCCGAGCGTGCCGAGGAGAAGTTCCAATCGAATCCACGCCTACTCAGTGGAGTAAGTATAATTGTACTAAGCAATCAGGATTTTCCCAGCACTCACTGTTTGTCTATTTGCAGCTGCTGTTGCATCATGTTATTCCCGGTGCCTTTGAGATTGCCACCTTGCAGGACGAGATGACGGGCGTCTCCTTGGCCGGCACCCAGCTGCGCGTCAATCAATACAATATGCACGATCAGGAGTGGAACGATGTCACTGTAAGAGATATAGATATATAATCCCAACTCAACCGAACCGAGTTCTAATCAATATATGCTCTTCATTGTTCCTAGCTTACCACAATTAACGGCGCAATGGTTGTGCTGAATAAGAAGGACATTAAGATACCGCAGGGTGTGGCCCATGCTGTGGATCGGGTGATGTTCCCGCTGCCTGTTGGCGATTTGCTGCAGACCCTGCAATCGGATCGCGAGGGTCGCTTCTCCAACTTCCTGAAGATTCTGTACACCTCGGGCATGTCCGAGAAACTGCAAAGCAAGGGTGAATAAATTTTGAAATTCAATTTAAGCCTTAACTAATATAACTGCAACTGTATCGCCAGGTGTTAAGACATACACAGTGTTCGCACCGGTTGACAAGAGCTTCAGCGAACTGGACTCCGATACACTGGAGAAACTCTACACGGACAAGGAAGCAGCCGAACAGTTTGCCATGAAGCACATTGTGCCTGGTGCACTCTTCTCGGCTGGCATGCGCTTCTATCAGGTGAAGGACTCGTTGTTCACTGGCAAAACGGTTGTGCTGCAAAAGACCTCCGCCGGCAAGATCAAAGTGAATGATGCACAGATGGTCACCTCGAATATACCAGCCACAAATGGTGTCATTCATGCCCTGGACGGAGTGCTGGCGTGAAGATTTTAACATGCGATCGGCCCCACTTTGGGGGGCCTTGTTAATGCAGTTAATGTATTAGTGTATTAAGTTTTTGGTTGCGTCGGCCAATTTTTTTTGGGGGTATCTTTATAATTATATCACAGACGAAGCAAATTGTTAGTGAAATCTTGCCTTAGAAATCGCGATCTAATAGAGAATTGGTGCAAAAGCAACAACAACAATAGCAGCAACAAGAAAAATACAGCAACCAGCAAATGGGAAACGAGAGTAACACAAAGATTGGTGCTTCCATTAATGTTTCTGTACTTTTTTTCTTTCGCTTTCATAAACAGTCATTAAAAATAGAAATAGTTTAATTTAAGTGGAAGAGAAAAAATGAAGATGTGTAAAAAAAGTGTTTAAGAACGATGACAACAGCGAAAATGGAGCTACGTTAAGAATTTTTAATATCTAATTTATTGTTTGGTCATTAAATCCAATCACAAAATTATGTTAATTTAGGATCGTAATTAAGTCGATGCAAAGCGTTATTTGTTTTAAATATTAGAGAAATATAAATAAAATATAAAACATTTATTTCTTTACATATACAAATGTTTCTTGTATTATTTTTATTAGGATTTACGAAAAATATGGGTATCGAAAAATATAAGGAAGTTTGGGGGTGACTGTGCCGGTGGTTTGTGTATGTGCTGAGCAAAATCACAGCGGAAATTTAATCGTTCAAAGTTTGAGGGCAATTGAATTACATTAATGTATGCTACGGGTTTGTGAAAATGCTATGGGCCGAGATTTGTCAAAGATATCCAATTTCAAGTGAGGTTTTGGGAGTACTGTACCATAATCTTGTATAGGTTGTGAGTTGACCGGTTGAAGTCTAGATAAGCATGCAGCATTATCAAGCTGCAGGCCACAAATAACAGAATACAGTTTGAGAAGAATTGGAACACAACTGAAATGAAAGATTGATGTCAGTATTTAATATACATATAATTCTCATAAATTCTTTATTAAGTCGACTTTTAAAATGTTTTGTTTTGTTTTGTTTTTCGTTTTCGTTTTCGGACTTTTTAATTAGTTTACTTTTCTATGCAAATACCGATCAATCATATTATAGTTAATAAATTTTAGTTATCGTTATTATAATTATCGTTTTGACTGGCAAGCAATTCATCGAACTTAATTCCTTTCCCTCCGTTTCGTAATTAATATTTATTTATTTGTTGATTAAATACGTTTTGTATTTTATTATATTATTAAATTCTATAACTTGCTTTGCATAGCGGTTTCTCATCTCGATCTTAACTGATTTGCGCCTCATTCGATTTTTAATTTAATTTCGGTTTTTGGTATCGTTATTTTTACATGCACATTTATAGTTGCAAAAAACATTTATGGCTATTTTGTATTTAAATATTTTATCTCGTATTTCGTATGTATATCAATAATTGAAAACAAAAACCAATGAACAACATAAGTTCGATTTAGATAATTACATAATAAAGAAAATAATAAAAATGGAACAGTGCTCAATGAAAAACTAGGCACAGGTTTAAAATATTAATAAAGAAACAAACTAAAAACTACGAAATGATTTTAAGAGATACAAATTCTGTTTTAAATTTTCATATTTTTTTTGTTTTGTTTTTTAAATACACATATACCAACTTTTATGTCCCGTTATTTGCCTTATATTTTTTACACATATTAATTTTTTATTTTTGTTTTAATTTTTAGCTTAGTTTCTTTTTTGTAATAATTTCTGAAAGTATCACCCTGTGTTTTCTCATAGTTTCCCATATATTTTAAATAATGTCCATTTCTTGTTTGTTTTTTTGTTTGTTGCCTTAAAATGTGTTTTATCTTTTCGTCTCTCTGCTGATTCGCCTTAAAATTTACAACAATATTCCAACTTAATTACATACAATACATTATTATATATATATTTGTTTCTTTTTTTTTGTGGTTTTCATTTCATTCATTTTTTAACAAATCGCGTACTTCAAACTGGGCCGGAAATTGCCGCTCCGTCGGGAGCATAAAAACGTAATTATGTTTTTATTAAAATTTCAACAAAAACTTGAACGCAATGCAAGTGTGTGATTGGGTGTGGCTATTGTAGATTTACTTTTAGTAGACACTGTAGTAAGTTGAATTGCTGATTTCTTTTCATATTTTGTATTTATGTATCAGTTTACCGTTTTCAAGTTCAATGACTTGCTAAAATAAAAGACGAGGCAAGGAAATTATTATTATATTATAAAATAAAAGGAACATTTCATAATATTTGTTTAGTATTTTTAAAACTGTTGCGAGCTTTTGAACTATGAACAATAAACTGATTTGCTGCTTCGATAATTGCAATATTTACGGATTGATTTTTGGTATGTTTTTTTTTGTTTTAAATCGTTTGCGTTACCGTTATTTCTATTTTGAATATGCTTTACGTAGTTTGAAGGAAAAAACACTTAAAATGCTTGTTAAAACGAACTTTTTTGACTATTTTTTTGTTGTTGTTATTGTTGTTGTTTATTTTTTCGTTTTGTTTTTGTTTTGCTTGTATGCTTTGACTATTTTCTGCTTTCTAATTTGCTTAGTTGCTGTGTGCTATTGGTGTTATTGTTGTTGTTGCTGTTGTTGCAGTGTGTAATTCAATTTAAATTTAAATTTAAATAGGAACAACCCGAGCGCGCCTCGCGTCTCTTGGGTTTGGAAAGAGTGCCCCAATGTCTGCACATCTACCCCTGCCACGGCCACGGCCACGGCCACGCCAACGCCCACAGCCACGCCTACTGCTGCTGGACGAGCAGCTGCTCCACCTGGTCAGCGGTGCGTAGCAGAAACGCCGCACTCTCCCTATACGCCGAAATAACCTGCCGGGCAGCGGTCACCTCGTTGGGGCTCAGCTTGTGTGGGAGAATTGGCGCCACTCGGGAGCAGTTGGCATCACCGGACGCGGAGAGCAGCTGTTGCTGTTGTTGTTGCTGCTGTTGTTGTTGTTGCTGCTGTTGCTGCTGCTGCTGTTGTTGCTGTTGTTGCTGTTGTTGTTGCTGCTGTTGTTGTTGCAGCTGCTGCAGCTGCTGTGTGGCGGTGACCAGAGCATTGTTGTTGCTGGCATTGCTGAGTGTGGCCAGATTGGCGGCACTCAGCTGTGCGCTGACCGTGTTGCTGTTGTTGTTGTTGTTGCTGCTGCTACTGCTGCCGGCGATGCCAACACCCAGTGACGTCGGCTTCATGGAGAGATCGGTGGGCGTAACTGCAAAGAGAAGTTTGAGTTTATTATGTGCTGCACGGTCTAAAGTGATCTTGAAATTTAACTCATGCTCTAATGACAACTCGCTTTAAGCTGCTAGCTGCTAGACATGCTTCAGATCCTTTACAACACTTAAGACAATTTTTAACTCACTTTATTTACTAAGTGATTTCCATTACGGTTTCTTTGGTAAATAATGTTTTAACTCAAGTATAATTTACTTTGATTATCTCTGCAAAGTTGTGAACATTTTTTTAGCTGCTTTAGGCATTTATTTGTGTATTTTTTTATTTTTTTCAATTAGATCTACAGCTTTGTTATTGGACTTACCATTACCCAGGCCGGCGACACCGGGAAAGTAGCCAGGATAGCTGGGCGCTCGACCGGCTGCAACAGCCGCTGCCGCTGCTGCCGCCACAAAAGGCGAGGCCGCCGAGGGCGAGCTGAAGTCCGTGGTATAGGGGCTGCTGGAGGGCAGGCCGGCACCATTTGATGCCCCACCAGCGCCGTTGGCCAGCGTCAAGCCAGTCATACTCGTGCCGCCAACGCTGGCATTCGAGCTCAAGGCCAGCGGTGAGCTGCGCGCCGAGCTCATGCCACCAGTGCCGCCGCCAGCAGCACCACTAGTGCTGTTGCCGCCTGCACTGCCAGCACCAGCCAAATTGGCAACGCCTCCAAACGCTGCGTCCGCGTGCTCCGAGTTGGGCGTGGATCGGGCAAAGCCCACGGCGCTGACAAAGGGCAACGCAGCAGCTGCCACACTGGTCAGGCCAGCCGCATCGGCTGCCGTGCAGGTGACGGTTGCCGCGTTGCTCGAGGATGTGGAGCTGGTGCCGGCAACAGCGGCAGCAGCTGCTGCGGCAACAACGCTGCCCGGCGCTGGCACCGCATGGGTAATCGGCTCCAGGCCAATGCGCATTCGCTTTGCGTTCATGGACTCATTTTCGCAGGCGATCGCCAGGATCTGTTCCGCCTGCACGGACGTCAAGTGAGCGGGAGTTGGTCGGGTCTGCAACAATGGATATTAACATATATGAGAAATGGTGAGAATGGATTCCTAAAAAAATTAAGTTGTACTTTAAGAAAGTGGAGTTAGTTGTAGTTAGGAGTGAAGTTAGAGAAGTGAAGATAATTGAGGCAGATTCATCAGCTTCTCATATCCAAAAATAAATGTAATTGACTGTTTATGTAGGTATTCATTAGGTATGAACCTAACAATAGATCCAGAGTTATATGCTGTTCCAGCACTTTGTTTCTGCTAAGGCTAATTAAAATATAAAAAAAAACTTTGTCTATCACTCACCGTGTTCTCCCAGCCGTCTCGTGTCTTCTTGTTGCGTCGGCACGACTTGAGATAGGTGCGAATGCGTTTGCGGGAACGATCGCTGAACTCGGGAAATTGTCGAGCGCACGAATCGATGATGGCTTGGATCTTTTCCTTTGGCTGCTTGGAGATGGGTATAATGCGGTCCAGGTTCTCGTCCACAAACAAGCGTACAAACATCTGCAAGGCAAGGGGATCGATATGAGTAACAAACAATTCTTGGACTTTTGGCCATTTGTGGTGGCTTCATTGGCAACGTTCGCATTACATTCCAACAGCTCTCTGAGGGAGATGAGTTCTCTCTCCCTCTCTCTCTATTACTCTCGCACTTTACTCACATTGAAGGCCTTGAGGCGCTCAGGATCGTGTGGCGTGGCCAGTTTCTCGTCCATTTTGTCATCGGAATCGTCCTCGGAAACCTCATCCTCTTCCTTCTGCCCCGATGAGTTGGTCTCATCCTGCGCCTCCATGGGCGATGGAGCATCCTGCCTGGGCACTGGAGACAACGAGCTATCCATTTTACTGGTGGCCGCCGCCACGGCCGCAGCATTCTGGGCAAGCGCGTTCTGATACTGCGCCCAGAGACCGCCCACCACACTAAGGTCGGGTCCCTCGGTGCCGTTCCGCACGGCCGTCGAGTTCTGGTAGTTCCAGGCGAGCAGCATTAGCTTCAGTTTATCGGCATCCTTCATGAGGCCCGCATATGCTTCGGACTCGCTGCTCACACCACCGCCCCCGCCGCCCAATCCGCTGGCAATGTCTAGTCCCAATACGCTGCCAGCACTGACAATGCCTCCAGCGCCGCCACCGCCATTGCCTCCTCCAACGCCACCGCCTCCTACACCGACAACACTGCTGGTATCGGTGCTTGTGGCCGGTGTTGCTGGTATGGTTTCCTGTGTTGGGTGGGAGGATTAAGAAACCAAGATGAGTTCAAGTTCAAATTTGAGCTTGGGGTTGGATAAAGAATCTAAGATGGGAACAGCTTCAAATTTGGGAAGTTTCAATGACCGCAGAAAGTTTTTTGGGACAGCATTCGATATATACCAAATCCAAATGATTAGAAGAGGTTTTGCTGAACTAAACCACCAAGTTCGTTAGACCATTAAAAAATGGGCGCAAAAAGCGTCAAAGAAGCGACTGCCAAGTTGCAAGCCAAGCAGCATCAAAGTTTTTCTTGGTCAAGATGAAAGTCCGGCCCGGTCTTCTTTTCTTTTCTTATTTTTATCCTACGAAATGGTATAATATTGTTTTTTTTTGCGTTCCTTTTATGCTGCACTGCAAATTAGTTGGCAAGTGAGTTGCGGGTGAGAGGGAGGGTTGAGGGGTGGGGAGCAGCAACGGCAAAATGGGGAACGCTTTTGGGTCTCTGCCATTTGCGGCGAGCATTGCTCTGATGAAGCATTTCGTCCTAGTTCAAGATGTTCTCAGTCATTTCCTGGACCCACCGCCTTTGGCTGTGGTTGCAGGACAGTGGTTAGGTTGGCTGCTTGCCTGCTCGCCTGCTTTGGAGCTTTTGGGGTTGGCTGGCATTCAGAATTTAAGTTATATACCATACGTCCAGACATTGCATAAGAAAAAGCAAGTACGAATATAGCAAACGACGCAAATGAAGTTTGAACACGGCTTCTAATTAACATTCAGTTGCAGCTAAGCTTTCTTTCTCTGTTCAGTCAAAAAGTCTGAACATCCGAATAGAAAAAGGTGTATGCACATTGATTAAGTGCTTGTTACTCCAAACAGCATAGGAAAAATGTTATTCACTGGTGGCATAAGCATAAGATTTAAGATAAAGTTCCAATGGAATCGATGCAATACCAATTTTAAAAAAATAGCAGTCTTATATTGGAAGTGGTATAAAATAACTTAGTCGATTCCACTTGTTGTTAAGAGATAATTTAAGATAAGGACTCTTTAAATAAAAAATAATGTTAATATGTGAAATATTTAATTATGCTTTGAATTTAAGTTTAATCTTCATAATGTAATCAAAAAAAAAAGACAATGCTTAAGTGTTAATTAAATGATTAAGTACAAAGACAGCAAACAGATTGCAATTTGAAATATTCTGTAGTAATGTCAATCTTTACTCCTAAAGTTAAGAGCTTCTGACTTGTTGGCAATATTTCACGAAAAGTGAAGCAACTTACTTAAAGCAACAATTCCCAAGTCAGTTTTCTAATCAAGCCAAAAGAAAACGAAATGGCAATTTGGATTTTGTCCACTGTCAAACGAAAGTTGCCAACATTGAAGATGTGCAACATGAGGCCAACTTGTGGGCGGTTTGGGTTAGGGGATTTTGGGGTTTCAGGGATTGTACAAGCCCTCTAGCTGGCAATTTCTTTTAGTTCGAGTTACCCTTTGCTTGAGGCAACGCTGGCGATTGAAGGAACGACCACATGAATAAGAAGAAAACGTACAAATTTTCCATTAATTAAAACGGTACAAGAAAAGCAACTGGGGAGTTGCTAAGCGGGGAGTCTAGGAAGATGGCCAGCACAAAGTCATTGGCCAAGCAAGCTGGACAGCGGGCGGCAGGAGTATCGGAGGGTGGTTAAGTCTGAGGCAAAGGAGCACAGCGACTAACATTTTTGTGAAGTTGAGGAACTCCGTCGGGAGACTTCTTTGTGCCATGGACTTGGTCTCGGCTTCTGTGTGTTTGTGTGTCTGTTAATGTGTGTGTGTGTGGGTTATGTACAAGTTTTTGACTTAGGAATTGGCTCAACTTTAGACTGGCATGTCTTAAGCTCATCCTAGGGCAACCTTGACTTTGCCGAGGAGGATGCGACTTGCAAAGCAATTTGTTGTGAGCTGTCAGTTCACAAGGCGTATGAGTAACACCTGCAAGACATACACAACATTCACACGTACGCACACCCACAGAGTTAGACATAAATCCGAGCATTTATTTCCATTGCCACAACATTTGGTGAGAGACGCAAGGAAGTCGCTTTTGAAGTTTTCTCTGGGTGTGGGTGATGCAGACAAATTGTATCCCTTTTATAGTTGCGCCTAAGCGCACGGAGTTGCCAAGTCTGATGGCTGAAGTATGCGGGCTGTGGCAAAATCTAGAAATACAAGTTCAATGCAAAAAGTGAAAAGCGGGGGCTGCCTTCCTTTCTATTGCGCCTAAGAGTGGAATATAACTACAACCACACACAGCTCTGCCCGGCACAGCACAAATACAATGCCGAAAAGGCCTCTAAGCACACGCATAATGAATTATCAAGGACTCAAGTGTGTGCCAGTGTGGGAGAGTGTGAGTTTGTTGCTTGTGCCTGCCAACTGCCGATGACATATTTCACCCAGACTCAGCTCAGCCTGAGCTCCTAAAAGGCAGCTAAGAAAATTTGCGTTTAACTCATAAGTGCGTGAAAGGGTTGCCAACCCCATAGACCCCATCCCCTCATCCCCCATCCCTCACCCTTTACCCCTCACACCTCATCCCTAACCCCAAACCCCCCTAAACTAAACTGAACTGTGCTGAGCGGTTGCCTCTGTGCGCTGTCAAGGAAATTGTAGTTTAAATGAAATGGAAGTTGCTTTTATCAACGGCGCCGGCAGTAAGACAGGGCAGGCAGGCAGGGGTTGCTGCCACAAGGGTTGGGGTTAGTTGTGTGAGCGTGTGTGAGCTTTCTTAGAAGTTGTCTGCCTGCCTATGTGTGTGTGGGTTGTCGTATATAAATTAAAATGCCTAAACATATGCATTAGTTTTTGTCTCAGACTCCCACTCTATCTCCCTCTCATTCTCTCTCACCCTCCATGTCTCACTCGATATAGTGCCTCTTAGTCTTGGGGAGCTGTAAAGTTTTTGTGGTTACGACATTGGTTTTGGGGGGGTGATGGGTGTGAGGATGCTGCTTTTGAGACACGGGCAGGTCTGATGTCTGTCAGAGTCGTTCTAGCTCCTGAGAGCTGTGTGAGGGCTGGCAACTTAGTCTAATGAGAATTCGAAACTTAACTACGCAATCGTGCCGAAGAAATTAAAAGAAATTGCACATGATGTGCGGAGAGACGATATCGAAAGATACATTAATACACATATAGATATATACATATATATACATGTTCAGGCCAAAATGTGTACAGTTTCATCTAGCGAAGGGAAAGTCAAGATTTAAAAGAAGTGCAATAGAACAAATATTTGCTTCGCTTATTCAAACAAAGGCCAATTGCAAAGCTAAAAGACTTGAGCACTTGCCTCACATTTTCCACTGACCTCAGAAATCAACTGTGTGTGTGCAATTTATGGGCCATGGTCGAGTGTTGGCAAGTTCACAAGAAATGAAGTCGGAAACATAACGGAGAAAGATGCTGAAAATGCTTTTCAAAAGAGAAATATTTTGCAGGATTAGCTTAAGAGAAATTTATGGAAAATTTGAAATTCATTCGGAAATTTGTTAGCAACGTTGAATTTAAAAAATTAAATCGGTCGTATAGTAATATAAAAAACACAAAATATTTACAACTTTCTTAAAGCTAATTAACTATTTAGATTTGTACATATGAATTTCTGGTTGTTTATGTGGTAATATGGGATTCAGTAAGCCACATAAAAATTGTTCTATTCACGAATAATGTACCTGCTCCTTTTGGTTTAAACCAAATCTTTACAAAGCTCAGAGCAAATTTACCCAGGAAGCAACACCTTTTTAGAAGTATGATGCAACAGTCAACAGTTTTCATTTATTTTGGTCAATTAAATGACGTTTGAACACAACTCTTTGGGGTATCAATATGCACATGAATATTTGGCCAACAGCATTTCCATATGCATGTTTTCCATTTCAGTTTTTGGCTCTGATGCATTGCGTCATTTGGTGCCTGACGCATGAACCTGCAGTCTAAATGCATTATATGCATGTACTCTATATAACAATAAAATATATGAAGGATTTATATATATAAATAATATATATATATATATATATATATATATATATATATATATATAAAAGGTGGAGGCCCCGTTGGTAATCCCCTCCAACCGAAACCAAAACGTGAACGTTGGTCAAAGCAATTACAAAAATTGTTTGAACGCAGCATTCTTTTGGGCGATGTCGCCGGATGGGCAAAAGTTTTTCTAGTGGGTTGTCCACAAAAAGAAAACACAACAAACAGATTTGAAAATATATATAGAAAAAATCGGTAGGTGCAAACGTGGCTTGAAACCAGGAACAGGACAATGTTAAATTAGTTGCTAGTCATATTCATAGCCATTAGCAAAGAAACAGAGTTGAAAGTAAAGAGCGAATGGGATCGATAGAGGGATATAAAGTGGAATTTAGAGGGTCAACGGCTAATGGGAAAAATATGCTGGGCTATATGTAAAATATGAAAACCTGAAAAGCTGAAAGACAAATATTTACAAAGGTGTATTCATAGAAGTGAGTGAGGGAGTGGATAATATATAAACCTATTTTTGATTTAAATCTTAACTTAAAATATTGAAAATAACACCAAATATCACATATATTGATCATTTTTCAATTGAAATTTATATTCAGAATCTAAACATTCTTTATATCTTTGTGAATTTATAAAATAAGTTAATTCCGTATGCCACATGTACTTCCTTGCTAAAAACAGTCATTATCACTGGAAGTCTATGCTTGGATTGTTTGAAAAATATACGAAATGACAGTACATAACCTTCCATTTGTGTATGCTATAATTTGTTACCTTGAAATTATGTTAAATACTTAACAACTTCCTGGACAAACAGACATTTACCATACTCGCCCACTCTAATCAGCGACTGAACTTTGAATGTGGCAACGAAACCTTCGAACCGAAGCATAAAAATGCAATCTCCTCCAGCCAAAAGCGCCCACAAACCCACAAACAAAAAGCACCACCACCATCCGCAAATCCAATAAGCCCCATGCTGTTTGGC